CTCTTTGGCAGGCTTTCCCTTATTTGTTTCCCATCTAACGAGATGAATGCCAAAGTTTGGCAAACTGGCCAGAAAAGATCCAGCGATCTAACCCACACTGAGCTGCTTGGATGATGAAGGTCAGCACAGTCTGACTCACACAGTGTCTGAACCACTGCACTGATGTTTTTAAATGTGATTTTCTCTTCAAGACCATTGAAGGCGTTCACTACCATAACTGACAATGCTTATTATCAATAAACAAAGGCATTCACTAATCGTCCATCCAGTTGTCCATCTCCTGACTGTCATACTTACACTGATTCATTAATCTCAGATTTGGTGCTTACTGTGAGTTCATCGAGTTGAGATTGAAGATAGCCACTGAACTCTGCATCACTCTCACCATGCTGCCTCACACAGCAGCAAATTCCCTCCATCTTCCAGTTGTAGCTGAGATGGAAGAGGGTCACTGAACTCAACATGGTGTTATATAATGATAGCTGCAAATATCAGAGACAGAGAGATTACTAATAAATATATGAGGGACCAGTAATCTGCAACTCCATCTGCACTGCTGGAGGGGTTGCATAACCCACATCAGGCCACACTGAGTCATTGCTAGTGGCTACGTCTAAAAGTGTGTCTCTCTGTGTGCTGCAGAGCAATCGCCAAAGGATCAAATGTTAATCTATAATTTGGATGCTGCATGGCCAAAAATTTTGTGGGGTTTCTTTCAGATCTCAGAATCTTATGTAATCTATCATTTAATTTAGCGGCTTCAAATAAAGCCTTTCAGGTGGCTGAAAGTATGAATCCATGCCGTAAAGTGAGCAGTGCGAGTGTGGATGTGTATGCATGTGTGTTGTATTACTGTTCTTGCGCATGAATAATTCATGACAAACTCCAAATCACACCTAATCAGAACTTCATGCCAGGACCCTGATAAAGTCACTCAACACCATTAAATGCACAGAGACATACAACCATTAAATAGACTTTGACAACTGTGCGGCTCTGACATTGAAATGGTACCAATTTAGTTCAATTTAGTCAATAGGAATGTTTACTCTGTCAAAAGAGGTCTAATTATAGCGTGAAACAACCTCATATAATGGTTGTTGATGGGCATAGCATCAGTATGCAAGAAACAGCAAACACAATGGAACAGAGGTGAGTGTGTGTGAGCTCAAGAGGAACAGAAGAGCAAGAAGAAAAATAAGAATCATATATATACATTTTTTATCCTTTCATTCATTTTCAATTATACCTTTTTCATTTTGTGCCTCAGGAATTAATCACACCTTATGCTGTTCAAACTAAGAAAGCCACACAGATAAGCAGATTAGCTGGGAAGGACCTCAAAACGCTTGGATTTATCAGAATAAAATGCTACAACCCACTTGACCCTGCACACATCTCATTGTCATTCATCCTCCATGTAGCCTGTGGCCCTGTCTTCTGTAGATATAGACTGCCACCTGCTGGCTCAACCTTTAATGTGGGCTTCCTTCCCCCTTTGACTGTACAGTGGATGATTGCTGCAACGATCCTTCTCTATTACTGTGCAGCAGAGCATACTATTGCTGCTCTCTGCTGGTATTTCCAGGTAAGGACAATATGCAGTCAGACGTGTCAGTGACTTTTACTGAGAACGAGTGGCATGGTCTGCTGGCAAGCCATCATTATCCAGAGGTTATTTTCCTAAGAATGTATAATTTATGGGCTCCACGAAGGCGATTCGATTGTTTTATTCAGCGAAGGCTATTTAAAGTTGCGTGATGCTCTTTCTATTTGCCAAAATTTGTTGTCATCCAGGCACGGAGGAAGAATGCTAATTAAAAATACAAGGCTTATTTATTTTTGTAATTAATTTGACAACTTACACTATGCAAAGGAATTGTTGCCAGGGATTTTTACAGGTAAAGGACAGAAGTTTGGCAGTTTAGAGACCCAAAGTAACTGTTTTAAATTTTCAAGCTGTAGTTAGTTCCACATAGATGAGACCTTAATCCACAAATTAAATATGCAGCTATGTAAAAATGACTCCCCACTAAAGGCTCTGCATTTGGATTCTGTTTAATATCTGTTTTTTAATTAACGTATTTAAAGCATCAAAAGTATCAGTCCTTAACAAGATCATTTGTTAAGGTAATAACTTATTAAGTCTATTACCTCTACAGACTACTTTAAAATTTCATTATATTTGTATTTCAAGAAGCCTGGAGTGAAAGTACTTAAGTGAAGTAGCAGAATACCTCAGAATTGTACTGGATTAATTCTGATTCGTTAAATTTCACTGCTTTTTGTTTTGCAAAATTATATTACTGTCAGGTTTTCTTGGATATTTGCATAATTATATGTATAATGTACAGTTTTTGTAATTTTGCCTCCATACATGGCCACAAGGATTTTAAATCAATATATAATTGAAGTGAAGACTTTTAGCTTTAAGTACAGGGATTCAACAAAATTATTGCATTAAGTGTTTAGGAACAAAAGTCCTTTTTATGCATTAAAGGCTTAGAAGCACTTGGAACAATTTACAGGCAAGACGTTTATGGCCAGGTAAGTAGATAAAAAATCCAGAGTAGATTCCAAGTACTGAACTTTTCACTTGAACTCTTAACAACTCCAAAAAGATGTCAGTGCATCTGACATCTTTTTGGAGTGAAAGAGGCCATCATGACTGACTAAATCAAATAAATCTATAAGAGAGACAGCAAAAACAATCTGCTACAGTCCTCAAAAGAAGGAATACTCAGCAACACCAAAAGGTCTGAAAGACCACAGACCTTGCAAATTCTTTGCTTGGTTAAGAAAAAATGCTTTACAACATCTAACCAAGTCAGAAACACTCCCAAGGAGGTGAGATCTACAATCAAGAGACATTCACATGAATAGAAAAAGGATTTAGAAACCAGGGTTGGATTAATAGATAATGAGCTAAAGCATACTGCAAACACAAGAGTTACTCAAGGCAAAGAAATATGATACAATAGCCAGCCCAATGACCTGATCTTATTTCAATAGCACATTCTTTTCAGTTACTGTAGACAACAATCATGTTTACTATGTATTAATCTGCTGTAATTCCTAAACACTCAATAGAATACCTTTTAAAAATGAGAAAATCTGCACTTCAATCATGCATTGATTATTTGATTTAAAATCCACTGTGGTGTTGTACAGAGACAAAATTACACAAAGAAAAAAGTCTTTGTTTAAACACTTATAGATGTAACTGGGGATGACCATCTGCTTTACAGACATGCTTCTTTTTACTTATTTTGTGGTCCCACTGGCTATAGACTGGTGCCCAGTAAGTGAAATGCAACTCAGTGAGAATGAACTCAGATGTTTGCTGCAGTCATTTAAAACATATTTTACCTTTTTAAACATGAAAAGCTCTTTGGTAGCTTTGACTGTTTCTTTATGCCTATGCTTGTATCAATATGTTTATTACTGATCCAGTGAAATGTGATGCATTTGGCTCATTTTTAGTACACAGAATTCCCTTTCATATCTGCACATGTCATGCTCAGCGAGTGGGTAAATAATAATGACATGCAAGACATGAGTTCACTCTAAACAGTTCTTTCCATCATTATATCAAAGTTGTTTTTGTATTTTACAAAGACAAAGAACTTTTCCCCATATGCTCATAGTTTTTGTTTGCTTGTTTGCTTGTTTGTTTTTTAGAGCTCCAGTAATTTCTTTACCTTTGAAAGGGAAACATATTCAAAACACTCCAAAAGACCACTGTCTAGTTGTGTCCTGATCATTGCTTTTCTGTTAATGAATACAAGCCTCCTTAGGAAAACAAGGCAGCTATTATAACTTTCTGATTTTGTTTTCCTCTTGCATGATAACCTCTCTACCTTTCATAGTGCCATCCAACTCCACTTCCATTTAAATGAAGCAGTGTTCTGCCACAGGTTTGCTTTTTAGTATATGAAAAACGACACTTAGCAGCCAGCTACTAGTTTCAAATCACTGCATTTGGGACACAGTGTTTTTTATAGGACACAACCTCCCACTGATTTCTCTCTATATTGACAAAACCATCAGGCTGACACTTGGTGCTTCCATTATTTTATAATTTTACAAGATAAAATAAGATAAGATAAGACTTTATTAGTCTCACACGTGGGAAATTTTTTGGTTTTGATCACGGCACAAAGTACAAGTTTAAAAGCAGTAAAAGTTAAGAAAAACACAATAGAATAGGGTAAGATAAAATAGAATAACATACTATAAAACACGAATAAATACTATAAATACTAATACTATTTAAATACTAATAAATACTATATACAATAGAATAAAATACTGTACAAAATAGAATAAAATGCTCTGTTATAGTAGGAAAAAATTGCACTTGGTAATACTGCACATCAGGGAGACAGTTACAATTCTGTATGGGATGTGCGTGTGTGTCTGTCTGCACCTGTGTGATCATCTGCAGAATCTGACAGCAGTTGGAAGGAAAGCCCTGTGAAATCTCTCTGTCCCACATCATGGGTGCTGCAACCTGCCACTGAAGGAGCTGCTCAGTGCTGTGAGTCTCCTGCATGGGGTGTGAAATGTTGTCCAACAGGAATGACAGCTTATTATTTCTTAATATATATTTAGTTCATTTATGTAGGTTCTCTAGTAATTTACTAAATAAAAAACTGGAATATTTTAATACTGAAATAGTGATTCAGAAGAATTATTAAAGTAATGTATTCGTTATTAAAGTTATTAAAGAGCAAATGTACTAATATTTAAACTTAAATAATTCTTTAGAGATTGTACTTGAGCAATCTATACATGGCAACTATCGAGTGAATAACAAGAAAAGGGGAAATACTCATATACTGTGTAACGAGTCATTCACATAATCCTCCAACTGCACACTTTGTTGGGGACCATACTAACCCTCTTTGGAAGGCCCTCTTGGGTCCCCGTACCCTATTTTGGGATGCCAGACCCGGAAGTGGGTGGTGGAGTCACCGTCATCCAACTGGTCACACCATCGCCGACATACTGCCTGCTGGGATGTAGTTCTCCACCGGAAAACTACAAATATTATTAGAAATCGGAGATCACTTACGATCTCGGCGATAACTCGTCGAAAGGATCCGCTACCATCGTTCACTTTGGAGGAGAAGGGAGGGAAGAGGCGCGTTGCCAAAATGATGGAAGAAATAGACAGATTTCAAGTGCCGAGTGCTGTACAGGAGGCGGAGATGCAGGCTGAGATGCAGCCGCTGGTAAGTCAAGAACAGTCTGGAAATGACCGGCGGCGCTTGATCTGTTTGCCTTGTTTAATTAAAAATGGCATTACAACCGCGCATACTTGTGTAGTGTTTGAGGCCTTGCCATTCATAGACAGAAACCCCGACAATCGCATCACCTGCCATGTGTAATGCTGCTTGATGTGGGCTGCCATTAGAACGTTCTCCATCAAGTTTCCCGGCTGCTTTCACGGAGTGAAATCGAATAAACGACGGCGGAATACACGAGGGGACGTGGATTTTGCTCACAAACAAGCTTTGTTGTGTTTTGTTTGGTTGGTTGTTTGTTTGTTTTTGTCGCTCGGCATAACGCAAACAGCGTCCGGTCTGCTGCGCAGCATCCGTCATGTCTGGCGAAAACAAGCATCCCATCCCAGCACTGCTGCTGCTGCATCCTCAGCATCCATGCAGCAAGTTACTCTGGTATCGACGCCACTTGCGTCACTTTGACGGAATTAGCAGGGGGCTCCTTATCGCTTTTATATGTTTGTATGTGCCATTAAAGGTTCGCCTTTACATACAAATCTCAGTGTAAACGGTTTAACGGAGCGCTCCGTGGCCTGTAGCGGGGCCCGGGGTTACTGCAGCCTGCAGGGCGGCCTCTGCTGCCCGCCGCCGGGGCCGCTGGGGAACCAGACTAGACTAAAGCAACCTGACCTGCTGTCTCCAGATGCCCCCACACCAGAAGTCCCGACCGTTCCTTATTTGTTGTTGTTTATAAAGCCTTTCATCCCTCTTGCCTTTGCTCTCTGGTTGTAAGATGCACATTTATTTTAAGACTGCTGGCACAAATCACAGATCTGTGTTTATTACCATTTATTCCCGTTGCTTAGCTATGGTGGGTATTACTCTGCATTACAAAACGACATTCATTATTCATTGCTGCCTCAGTAAAACACATCTCTGCACTTCCTTGTGTCCAGGACCCTGCCTCGTCCACAGCTTCAGAGGCTGACTCAGACACCAGAGAGGGGGAGCCTGTCACTATAAACTACAAGCCTTCACCTTTGCAGATGAAAATAGGTGAGAGATACAGTTTTAACTGCAGGCTAAATGTCTGTCTGTCCATCTGTGGTTGTTGGAGTGTTGTTTGATTGACTGTCAAACACAAAATGGTGCGTAGTCTGTAGACACAGATTGTAAAGGAACCAGCATAGATACTGTATAGCTGTGCAGAGGCATTTTAATTAATGGCCCATTGGCCTCTATAATTATTCTTGATGCCTTGCTAAGTAAAAACAAATGCAGTTACTACTGTATTTTAGTTTATTATTTTTAACAAAAGGCCAATTGCACGTTCCCAAAACCCAATGTGATTGTCCTCAAGGCAGGGAATAACAGCCTCTCTGGCCCCTCTCATGCCATCTTTATAGAAAGCCACAGTTCTTAAAGATTCATTTCAGCACCTTGGACAGAGTCCAGTGGCGAGCAGGAGCACATCGTTTTTAGTGGGGTTTTTTTTTTTTTTACTGTTTGCTACTGTATGTTTACTCAGAGTCAATAATATCTAAGAATTAGTGAGCTACTCTGTTAGTCAAAGCTCTTTTTTTAGGCTGTACAGCTACAGTTATGTATACGTCACCACTATCTTCTCTCTCTCGCCGTTTCTTGGTCCTGCGTCCAATTAAACATTGTTATAAAAACTACCTTGGCAACTATGTTGATTTCATTAGGTGTGCATGTTTGTTAAATTCATCACTTTGCTTTTGTGACCTTGAGATAAAAAAACAAACAAAAACAAAACAAAAATACAATCTACATCTATATGTCATGTAAAAACGTATTTGGTGCAGATTCCTCACAGCAAGAAGGGTCATGTTTGAAAAATGCTGGTGAGCCAGGCCTCTCTGTGTGGAGTTTGCAGGTTCTCCCAGTGACTGCATGGATCAAATGGTGAACCTAAATTGGCAGTAGGTGAAGGTGTTAGTGTGCAGAGTTGTTTGTCTCTTTGTATTAGCCCTGTGAGGAGCTTGCAACTCTCCGGGGTGTACTCTTGTTCTCGTTGTCAGCTGAGATAGGCATCAGCCTCGCCTACAACCCCAGCCTATAAGTGGTTAAGAAAATACATTGACATTCAAATGTTTTTAGATTTTAGTTCAGCAGTAGCTGATGCCGAAAGGGGGAGCTTCTAGTTTTTGATGTCACATGCAAAGTTTCTGAATACGTTTTACTTTTAGGCCTTTGAATTGTAATATGTTAAACAAATTTAACGGTCCTCTAAGCTCACACAGCAACAATCAGCACTCTTTGGTCAGCTGATCATTGAAGCAAATCTCTCCAGTGAGCAGAAACTGATCTGCCCCGAAGTCACGTCTGTTACTCTGCTGCACAGCTTACCGAAACGTTGTCTTCTTAAGTAAGAAATGCCATCTCAGTCTTCTTAAAGTAAAGATTGACTTAATATAGAATTCAGCTAAATCAGGTCATCACACCTGATTCTCATAAGTGTGCCTAAATAAAGTAAACATGAACATGCGTGCATATTTGCAACATTTAACTCAAGTATTACTTTACCTTAGTGTAGTTTACTAGCTAAACTTATTCCGTCACTCTTATACAGATCATTTATTGTCCAAAGCTCAACCTTTATGCCTTTGCCTGCTTCTGTGTTCCTTACACAGAGAAACAGAGAGAGCTGGCTAGGAAGGGCTCGCTGAAGAACGGCAACGCTGTAGGTAGTCCGGTCAACCAGCAGCCCAAGAAGAACAATGTCATGGCCAGAACACGGTAAGAAGCGAGCAGTCTCATCGTGGGGTCAGTCGAGAAATTACGAGAAGGACTTCTGTTGGCTGGTTGTTATTGATAAACAAAATCTCAGTACTTAGAAGTTTCTCACAGCAAACCTCATACATTGCAATTTACGTGTTGAAAGAGATTCATGTGGTGTAATCGTGTAACTGTAGTAGCTTTAAGTATAGGAGTACTGTAACAATTGTAATGATCTAGCCTGAAGTGAAGCCACAGAACAATACAAATAAAGATGCTTAGGTGTGACAGTATTTCAAATGTAGAAATTAAGCTTATTTTGTTCTTTCTAAGTGTGCCGTGTGTGGAAACAAAAATGTGTTTTAAGGCTGTACAAAAAAAGAGTTGTACTGATGTAGGGTTTGTAAGATGTCTGAAGTTAGACATTATACTGCTTTCACGCTTCTGTTGTTCCAGTGATTCAGCTGTGACGCTGCCTCCAGGCCTACTTTTCATTTATTTCAACATCTCTGCCAGTCCTGTTTTTGCTCACTTCTCACAGCTTGTGAAACTGTTTTTTCCTCCTCTTCGCCTGATCTCAACTCTCTCTCTTTCCCCCTCAGGTTGGTAGTTCCCAATAAAGGCTATTCGTCTTTAGACCAGAGCCCGGATGAGAAGCCTTTGGTGGCCCTAGATACAGACAGGTGGACACACAAACATCTTTCTTTCTGAGGAGCACATAAGCAAACATTAATGATATTAATATAGTATCCTGTGTTTTTCTGTTTCAGTGACGATGACTTTGACATGTCTAGATACTCCTCGTCGGGATACTCTTCAGCCGAGGTAAGAGCTTGTGCTTCAGCAAATATCAGTGCATCTCACCCCCTTGTATTTACTCTCATATTTCCCCCCATCCATAATTATTAAGAGGCTAAGTGTTAGGGTTTTACAAGCCAGTGTTAAAACTATCCGTGGCAATTCTGTGGGCATGTACACTCCCTGCAAGCGCATGATTACACTGCAGATATATCTGCAGACAAATGTGTATTAGACACAAAGCTGGATACAAATGAAATGTGATATCTGCATGTCTGCTCCTGCAAATCTTGTTTGTAACGCTGCTGCCACTATAAGTGCAAATCGCAGACGCATCCTCATATTTATAACCTGTCTGTGACGAGTCTAAGCTTGTGGGTTTTGTAGGGTGAGTTTTACAGTCTCAGATCCTAATTCCAACATGCTGTCAGAAATGAATAGCTAATACACGTTACATACTTTAAAGCACTTATTTTCTCTCTTAGTTCCAGCTAACCTGGGTGTAACAAGTACATATACAGTTACTGTTTCCACTGCAGGCCAAACAGAGGTTGTTTGTTGTGCTTATTGTTGATAGAGTGCAGAACAGCATATAGATAAAATGACGTGCAAACAAAGGAATTATTTTGGTTATTTAAAAAAATCACAGCAGGAACAGTAGTTATCACGCTCCAAGTGATGACGCTTCCAGCCATCTGTGAAAGTGCCCAATCTCACTTTGCCATGGTTACCACTCGAACTTTTAACCAGTCTAAATCACGAGCATAGACAGTCCTAATGTTTGTTGTTAATGTTAATGTTTTATTGCATTAGTACAATCAGATTTTGATTTACCAGTGATTTATATAAACATATCTATTTTTCTCTTTTCTTTTCCCTACCTGTCCTCCTGTGCGCTTTGGAATTTTACTTTCCTCCAACTCGTATATTCCCAACCATGCAGTTTGCACAAATGATTTCCTGGAGCAGTGTTTTTAAGGACCAAACAATTGGCATTAAAATTAAAAAACAAACACACGCTTTTCCTGCTTTTTGCAAAGAAACTCCTAAAATGTTCAAAGGGATTCTCAACATTTTAGGAAATAATGGACCTTTTGCTGGTAATCAGTGGAGACTCAGAGGAATTAGATAACCTGAGCACATATAAGAATGGTTTTAAAGGTTGGGTCATTCAGTACATCATACAAACTAGATAAAACATGCCAATTTTGAGGTGTAGATTTTGTTACCTTTCTGCTGAGCCTGTAGCTGCTCTCACAAATATCTCTCCTTTATGATAAATTAAAATACCTGCCTGCTAACTTGAGTTAAGTTTTTCTTATACATACGAGAGTGGCACTAATCCTCTCACCTAATTTTCTGCAGTAAAGCGAAGAAGTACACTATCTCAATAAGCTGTCTGAGACTGTCAAACATTAAACAGCTAGTTCAACAAAATAAATAAATAAAAACACAGATTAGACGAGCCTACCAGATGTTTACATCTACTCATCATGTCATGGTATTTCTATGGGCTCAAATTGTGGTCATAAATATTTTGTACTGGTAAATCAGGATTTGTATGTGTAAACAGCATTTGTGTGTGCGTAAAAAAGATTCAAACTGTATTACCCTTCAAGGACCTGCAGTTCAAAAAAGTGCCCCTCGGACAGCCAAACCCATCTGTTCTCTGATTCGATAGTTAAATTTGTGATTGACCTGACATTGACCAATTAGCTGAAAGGAAGAAAAATAGGGTCAAAATCTGTACTTGTAAGTTGAAACCTGAATGCAGAGTTTCATACGTATTTTTTGGCTATGTCCACACACAAATCTTTTTTATGCACACACAAATTCTTTTTACACATACAAATCCTGATTTACAAGTACAAAATATTTATGACCACAATTTGAGCCCATATATTTCTATAAACCTTTCCAGGGTGGAATGATTATACAGCATATATTGACTACAAATGGTAGTTTCTGTTTGCCACCCTAAGCAGGTTTTGTTTAACAGCAGTCACTGGACTGATCAATACTCAGATTTCCAAAGAACTCAGCGAAAATCTAAGAAGAACTGTAGATTGTAGATTCAGGCTTTCAAACCTAAGAACACTGTACCAGCTGTCAAGCATGGTGGTGGTAGCATCATGCTCCGGGGTTGTTTTGCTGTCAGAGGAGCTGGTATATTGCACGAAGTGAAATAATGGAAAACAACTTCCATTTTCTTAAACTTCACCGCAAATCAAAAGCTATGCAGTTGAAAATTAAACACACACTGGGTTTTCCAAAAAGACAATGATCCCAAACGCATCAAAACTGAATTTGGAGTGGAAAAAGCAGGTTAACATTAAGCTTCTGCAATGGTATTCCCAAAGCCCCACCCCCAATCTGTTCGAAAATTTGTTGACTATGCTTAAAAGCGGGAGTGGGAGTTGTCCCTTAAGCGGGTCATTGACCCACTATTGATCATGTGCCTCATCACATGAGCCAAGATGTGAAAAGGGTGTGGGTCATTATCAGAAGAGGTTTTGGGTGCAACGATTGTGAGATCTTGCTTCACCCTATCATTTGAACCATTGAGATCACCTGATGCAAGATGTGAGTGGGCGTTAAGGCATCTGGGAACACATCTCAAAACTGGATTGTAGGTGGCAGACAGCTGGTGTTGTAAGGCACCCCCTCTGTTCATAGATGATCATTCACAGTGGACATAGATGAGGCCATCTTTTATCCTCTTTCAAACCAGCTGTCTTCTCTGTCTAAAATGTGAACATTGGCCTCCTCAAATTAGGATCATCATCATCATAATGGTTTGTCCCAAGGACAACACTCCCAAACACAAACTAAACAACGTAGTGTATACTATGCAGTGTAATGAGGAGTTCTCGGTCTTCTACATTAGACAAACCAAACAGCCACATAGAAGAGCCACCTCGACAGGACAGGAGTCAGCTGTACATCTGGATCTAAAGGATAAAGGTCACTCTTTCTTACCATGACCTTCACGCCCATGATGAGTGGATGTAAACTCCTGTCCACCACTATTTTTTCACTAGAGTCACATGATTTTAGTAATTCGTTGTGTGACAGGAAGGGAATCAGCACATAAAGTTACATCTTTGGTCTTCATTACTTTTGGCACATTCCAGCTTTTGCAAAAGCTCTGCAGCCCGGTGATCTGTAACCCAAGGGTTAGTAAATGACGCTGTAACTCACTGACCTCTCTCTGTGTCCTCTCATTTTTCAGCAAATCAATCAAGATTTGAACATTCAGCTGCTGAAAGATGGCTACCGCCTTGACGAAATCCCCGACGACGAGGACCTGGATCTGATCCCACCCAAATCAGTCAACCCTACCTGCATGTGCTGCCAGGCAACCTCCTCTACCACCTGTCAAATACAGTAACTCTGCCTTTCAAGCCTTCTGCCCCCCCCCCCCCCCCCCCTCCCCCCCCCCCCGCTCTTTTCCACACGACATGAGCTCCCCTGCCCTCCCGTCTTTATCTGCTGTGACTTTACTTCGCCATGACAGTGGCGACAGTGAAACCTTGTTAGAATATCGTAAGTGCTATGATGATATTGACAACAACAAATAATCAAATTACCTTATAGAAAAGTTGGTTTAAAATCTAGGAGAATGAACATATTTGAAATTAATCAATATGTAATAAAAAGATTAGTAAAGTGGTGGTTTCCTCCTATGGTAGGACTTGCACTTGTGTTTGAGAGCTCTTCTCCTGGTCAACATGATTTAACATAACACACTGATAAAAGCTGACAAAAAAGAAAAGTTTGTTTGATGCTCTAAAGTGATTTCAGTTTCCCAGAAGAATAAGAAACATTATCATAACTGACTCAGCTGTTCTGTTTACCTGAATTCTGAGATGCATATATATATATTTTATTTTCTAGTTTGTTTGTTAGTTTTTTTTATTTAAACGCTTACTTTTTTTAACCTGAGGGATAATTAATATTGAATGTGCTGATGCTCAGATATGTGATTGTGTCGTAGAAGTCTGATTCTCCAAACAGAGGAAACTGCATTGTTGTTGTACCTTAAGGGGTTAATATGTAGCACAGACCAGGTCATTGCACTCATTAAAACCACCTTCAATACTTCTGCTCTCTTTGCCTAAATGGCAAAGAGAGATGTGGCATCACAGAGTTTAGGAGTGAATGTATGAAATCGAATAGCTGAGGAACAAACTGCATGAAGAGCATCTGACTGAATAATCCAATGGTAAATAATGAGCAAGTAGCTTTTTTGCACCACAGTTAATTTGTGCAATCACATGCTACTGTTGTTGCATTGTTTTCAATTTGCACATTTTGCTTTTTACTTTTTTGGGGAGCCCTTATCATTGTACTGTTTCCTGCAGAGCAGTGAAAATGAACTGTGTAGAAAGGGATGATTACATATTGTTTCTTGCTCTGATCCCCACGTTGTCAAGGCCAAAGCAACCTGATGATCACCGGACACTCCCTCCTTCCCATTTCTGTGTCAGTGCCACAGATCATTAGGTGAACACAGGTTCACACACCAGAGGAGGTGTACTTCGAAGTGAGATTAATGAGCTAATGAGCTATCTTAAGCTTAAAGTCAGAGATTTCAGTGTTAGAAAGGTTGCTCTCTTTTAACCTGACTAAATCACCATGGTAAATACTGCTGATTGCAAAAAAAAACGAAAGCCAGACTTAACAAAGGCAGCTGACAGCCACTGTTGTGGCATTTTAGGTTTTGTCAAGCCAACTAACACAAAGATTGCCTGGCTATGTTGAATTTGCTTCGTGGTATACATCTTAGAAAGATGACTCAACACACACACACACACATGCATGCATAAAGACCTACAATGCCAAAATAATAAGTGAGACAGCATCGATTTCTGTTTCAAACAGAATGGAAATCGTTTATTGCAACATCAAGGATCGTTGACTTGGAGCACTAATGCCCTTCATTTACGACTCTCTTTCCTCTAAATTAGCTGTTGATTTGCAATTAGAGTATGCCTTAAGTATAGAAAAAACTTAAAAGATGTCTGTGTTCCATCTTGATTAGTTTATTTGAAGAGCATTTGCTGTCTAAGAAGTTCTGCTTTTTTTTTTTCTTTTTACATTTAGACACAAGTGATAACTGTTTTTCTTTTCTTTTTTTAAAAAGAAAAAAAAGATTTTCTTGTAACGTAAACACTTCCATTACAGTATTTAACAATGTTATGTGCAGTGTATGAAAACGACAAATAAACAAAATGCAAATGAAACAGCGTCTGATGTGCTTGGCTATCCATAATAACATTATTCATAATTCATAATTTATTATGGTAATATATAATAATGGCTGCATAGTGTGACTATGGGTGTGGGACGCGAAAAAGAAGAAAGAGGCGAATGCTTAAAAAGAAAAAAAAACCCAAAAGGATAATTTTAATGTTAAAACATTTGAGCAACAATTATTACACAGGTATGTGTATTGCAATAGCATGGGATTTGCATTGACAGTCCCTGATTACAGTACAGTAGCATCAGAAGTAAGGGCTTCAACCTGAAAGGCACCAGCATCCAATCACAGTCACCATAATGCCAGAAAAGAAGAAAAATAAAATAAAATAAGCATTTCACTTCACAAATATATGTAGTTTGTATTCTACAAGCTACAGACTCTATTTGGACATTTGAATGCATCGTGTGACAAGTACAAAAGAAAACTAATGACATCAATAATAATTCATCTGGCTCCTGTAGTGGCTTAATAAGACCTCTCATTCCATTTGTAATATTATAAAAGATCCCCAGACAAATAAAACATACATGTACCAAAGAAAATACATACAAACATGCTACATGATGGAATTTGTTGAACTAATCAAGAAAGCACTCCTCAAATGGAAGGACAAACAATAAGAATAAAAATAACAATAATAATAATAATTAGGTCTGTATCCTATGAGAAATGTTGTGCTTCCATGTCAACACCAGGGGGTGTAATTTTAAGTCATGTGTCCACACATCACATTATTCCCTGATTTAAAAAAGAAAAATGCAGTCCAAACAAAACTGGCACTCTTGGCATTTGAAGACAGTCGTTGAGCTTTAAAGTATTACTGAACAGCAACACAAAGAATCTGACGATGTTAATTCAGGTAGTATTGAAAAACGTAGAAATTCCCCTCTGCCACAAAACCGTCAAAAGGCACGGACTTTTACTAAACATAAATCACTGTGGTCAGAACACCGAGTAGTGTTTAAACAGTAAGTGAAAAAATGTTACCACATTATCGTCTAAAAGGTTTTACCCTGTTATGTTTTCAAGCATTACTAAGAAACAACACAAAATGCTGAGATTTGCTTGTGTATTATGGCCTCGACAAGGTACTATAAAGGTATATTGGTGCATTTAATTGCAATGTGTGTGTTTCAACACAGGAAACACACTGCTTATCCCTACAAGCTCATAACACACCTGATTATACCTGAAGTCCATGGCAAATGTGTGAAATTAAATAAACAGGCTCTATATTTCTCTATAGTATAGTTTTCTTATTACTCTCTATTAACATGTAACTACACTAGACTTAGTATATCACCCATCTGAAGTTAGTTTGATCTATTTACATGATAATACTGCTGTGTTGTGCATTTGCATTATCCTGGCTGAAAAGCAACTGTTCAAGTGTGCATAAGTCTATGTGTGCAATAACAATATTCATTAAAGGACTATTTCCAGAACTTTAAGCGCTAGGAATATAAGGACTTGTGTTCTTCCCATTCTCTTCATTTGCAAGGGAAGTCTGCGATGCAAAGTGAACTCATGCAGTGTTTTTCAAACACTTTATGGGTACATGGTTTCCACTTGGACGGCAGATTCTTTCAAGAAAAAAGAACAATTTTTTGACAACACACAATAAAGTTGAAGAAGAGCTGAACTTCCCTGAAATAACCCTTAATAAATAACAATCACCTCAGGGAATGAGAGGAGACGTTCTAGTGTGATTACAGTCAGATTTGTCATGTTTGCTTCGTTTACATGTGTAGTAAACTCTGGTTGTCTGGCTCGACAGGATTTGTAGAAAAGGTACAGGCGCCACACGCGGGTGTGGATGTCTGTGTATGCCTCTGTATGTGCAGTATGTACCTTTGTGTGCACATGTACAGTATGCGGGTGTGTCTCACACCCCGGTGGGGCTTCGGTCTCCAGAGTCAGAGGAGGACACGGACACGGAGCAACGCCTTCTCTTGGCCGCGCCGGAGCCCTGGAGCATGCTGGGATGAAAGCCTGGATGTCGCCGGGCGTGTTTCTTCAGGTGGTCGCTCCTCATGAAGCACTTGTCACACATGGGACAGTTGAAGCGCTTTTCACCTGTGTGCGTGCGATAGTGACGGGTGAGCTCGTCCGATCGGGAGAACTTCTTGCCGCAGCCTGCCCAGGTACACTCAAAGGGGCGCTCACCTGAGGGAAACACACCCAGTTTTTGTTTTTGTACATTTACAACTAATCATATTAACCAACCCAAACCACTCCTTCCTCGCCGCAAAATCAATCACGTTATCATGTTACATTTGCACTTTTTCTTTCCTTCTAAAAAGAAAACAAATTAAGAGTCGACTTTTTTGGGTGAAATCTATTATAGGACCTACTTTGAGTTTGCTGTGTGTGAACAAATACTTACTTTTTTAATACTTATTTTACAAAACATAATAAATCAAAAATCAAATTGATTAAAAAAAAAAGATCCCTGAGAGATCAAAGTCTCCTGTGGCACCTGCTTTGCATTTACACAAGTATGAGAATATGAAAAACACAGAGACCAACAAACAACCCAGAGGACTTGGAGGCTATATGCTGCATAGCAACAATCAGAGCGGATGAAAAAACTTATTGTGATAAGAAGAAACAATCAAAATTAAAGCACAGACACACATTTGCGAGATTAATCAAGTGTGAAAAGGAGAAGGGGGGGGGGGGTGAAAATAAGACACAGGTTGCGGTCTGGAGCGAAAGACTGCTGCTAAGAACAATAACATGTTGACATCGGAGCCGTCAGTCAAGATAGCCCTGAGGTGAAACAGGGCACATTACCCCCTCCACGTGCTGAGCAGAACCACATGTCAGCTCTTGTTTACAACCCCACGCGAGGGGAGTGGAGGTGGGTGACGTATGAGGAAATGGTGGCGCAGTGCGCGTTACCTCCAGACAAGAACACGTGGGGACAACAGTGTCGCAGTGACCCGCGTGTGAATCACGACCTATTTAATGTGTCGGCAGATGTTCTTCCACTGTTACTCCGACTGCCAGTGCTGTATGATGAAGAGTGGTGGTAGGAACAACAAAGCTAAACTCATTAGAGGCGTTATTGGGTCTCATGATGCCCAATGCTCCGGCGTCATTTATTACATCTCTACAATAAAGCTTCGCAAATATGGGCGTCCGCACGTGGTGTTTACCCAAGATCGCACTCTGGCCGCGTGTCCACAGAACGTTAAAACAAAGATTTCCTCCCCCTTGCTTCTCCACCTCTCTGCCAGCCTCTGGTCCGATATGTCCCGGTGAGTCACACCCCCTCCCACAAGTAGGCGATCATGAGACCACCTTTCCTATAATGTGGTTTTGCAGAAACACGTGGTCACGCCCCTAAAAGTCTCACAACACGAGACACAGGTCTGGACTCTAGTCCGTCACGTTTTACTCTTACTTACTCTTACTTTCTCGGTTAAGAGTCTTATGTCATAAATAAGAAAAATACGAAAAAGGGTCGAAGTGACGCAGAGCTGTTGGTATAGTAGGTGTGTCGCCTAAGCACCCAGCAAGCACCCCATCCCCTCTCACTCTACTTACCGGTATGGACCCGAAGATGGGCTTTAAGGTGGGACGACTTGCCGTACATCTTCCCGCAGCCAGCAAAAGGGCAGCAGTGTCTCTTCTCGGAGCATGGCAGTCTCCCCGCCGCCGCCGCCGCCTTCGTGTTCCGGGGATGTTTGGCTTGGCTGGCCGGAGAGCCGCGGCTGTCCCCGCAGCTCAGCCGACTCCCCCGCTCCGCTTTCTCTTGCGCGCCGGCCTCGCTGCCCCCGAGACATCTGTTCTCTCCGGCGCTGACAGCGTTGGGGCTGCATTTGTTCAAGTCCAGCAAAATCCTCGCCACCATCAGTAAAGTCCTGTTCTCCTGGCTCTCTTTCAGTACGTCCTCCATCCGCCCCGGCGGTGGTCGGCTGGGGACGCGGTCTGCAGAGACGTCGACTACCGACGACATCACGATCCCTGAAGCAGAGCTGGGAGGAGAGAAGCAAAACAATAGATCTTGAGAGGCGAGGAAAAACTATCCGACAACGCGGATACAGTAATCAGTCCGCAGTCCTCCCAGGAAACATGCGGTTAATCATCCACACGTGTCGTCTTCAATGTGACCACTCCACGCAGACTGCGCTTTTCTTGTCGGGGTTGCGCGGCGGATAAATAAACGCCCCGCTCAGGAAAGATAGCGCTTTGAAATTGTTCCCCGGTTCCTCCTTTCTCTAACCTCCTTTCTCTTTCTTCCTCCAGATCCTTTTAATTCTAACGGACGAATCAAAATCACATCGTTTACCCACGCGCTATTGTGTCCACCTCCCTGTGCGCAGACACACACGGGTCAACTTGTCCTATTTTACAGAGAGCAGCACTTTAGTTCAACTCCAAGAAACAATTTCGCGGAATCCCACTGTGTCATAATTAAACTGGACTGTGATTGGATGAGAAGAAACGTGACTCGGTTTTTGGGGGACTGCCTATTGACTAGAGTGAGTGAAAAGACCCTCGACTAATCACAAGACTGGGATTGGTGAAAAGGGCAAGACCACACTCATGTTACCTTCAGGGACTCAAGGAAAAAGGTAAATATGGTTGTTAGAGTGTAAAAATGGATTTGAATCGTTAAGAAAAATATAAGTCCATGTAGGTGTAGATCTATATGTAGATACGTAAAAGTGTCGTCATTAAAAACAAAAATCCAACCCTTTGTGATTTTGGATAATAAATACATGGAAAATGAATAATGAACATTGGTTGTATTTGGTCAGATTTATAATTACATGCCTTTTTAATAATACGTTTAATAATAATTACAAATCTCTTTCTCTGAAGTTTAAGTTTTGAGAGCAATAAATGGTGTCCTTTCCTCTTTTCTGGATGATTTGCTTCAGACACTTGTCTCTTTCATCATTCGGTGAGCCCACCTAATTTGACCTGTGTAATGTGTACAAAACACTTCAGTATCATCCCTGTCATTCTCTTACAGTCAAAGCTTTTCTGGTAATTTCCTACCCTACACAATAACATACAGCATGCTTTAGCACGAGCCAGCAGATTATTATTATTTTTTAAAGATGACACAAAAAACTGCCTTATAAAGGAAGAGACATGCATTTTATTTTCTTATGTCCAGACCAAACAATCCACAATGATGGCTGTTGGCTGATGACAGACCTCACACCATGTCCCATTTTCACAGCCATAAACTAGCTCTAAATTAGCACAACCCCAAAACACTGCACTCTTCAGTGACCTCCTAAAACACTTGTGATCTTGCAAATATATATATATATATATATATATAGGCTATGTAAAATTATGAATGATCTGTTATGTATGGAAAAAATGGCTTGTGGTTATAGTTTCCCCCCTGTGTTTTTACAGCTGCTGAATATTTACAAGTTCCACTTTAGAGGGCTGAAATATTGACACGTAAGCTTGTTTCGTGAGATAAAGACATCTAAGATAAAGCTACTGTTTTTCTTACAGTCACACTTTTTCCCGTGACTTTATAAAAACATTTTTAATGTATACATTCTGATAGTTTCCTTAGTTTACGCTCACCCTAGAACTATGTGTTTCTTAATCCTGCCAAGTTACTCTTCACTATGAACTAAACGAGGCAGCACCTTTCCCTTGCGCTTCAACATTTTCAGACTACGTGTTTCCCACTGTCTCTTAAAAGTTTGCTTTATAAAAAAAGAAAAAAGAAGAAAAGGAATGAGTATAATACTGCCAGCCCACTTAAAAGTGAAATAAGACCCCTTTAGTTAAAAAGTGCAGGGGGTGGTTCACTTCTGGTCAAAGTTCCTAGAAAATCCTCAGCTTAGGGGGTGCAGGGATTGAGCAATGTGAGCTCTTGACAGTTCTCCCTAACCTGAACTTTGTAGTCAATAGTTGGACACATGTTCTTCCTTGGTTTTGTTTTTCTGTTTACCCACAGAGATGTATGGTCCTTCGTTTTTATAGGACAGGACTCAGTGTTCTCAAAATATGGGTTTGAACTTTGCCTGGTGACAAACATGGTTTATGCTGGTGTGACCCCCATACTAGTGTATAGCCTACATACCAAGCTGGCGGCTGTCACAATGTAAATGACAACAAAAATACATAATTCAGACGAAGCTTACTGCCCCTCTGCTGCATGGATATATATATATATAGATATAGCTCATATAGATTCATATGTCCTGTGTTGAATCAATATGAAAAACAAGGATTATGAGGGAGTAGGATTCAAGCCAACTGCACAGAAATAACATAATAATAAGTTCTATTTTCTGCATCACAGAATAAAACTGTACAAGGACTTCTTGCTCTTTTTCCACGATCGCCCCATGCTGGAACTCCGCCCCATTTTGCTCCAGCAGAACCCCCAGATTTCCACGAACAAAACTCTGGTTGAAACTAGGGTCTTGACCAGACGAGTGTAGTCTCTGCAGCTGCCCTCCCACTCCTCCTGCAGCAGAGCTGTAAACATTTCTGGGGAAGAGGAGGCGCTTCCTCGGCTGCCGCAGTTGCTGCTCCGCGCTTCCTCCTCGCACTAACGTGCAAAGAGTTCAATAGTGCACGGTGCATCTGGGTCATGTTGTTGTGGTGTCTTGTACGGCGATTGCAGCAAAGGTTGTTTTTTTTAAAGTGTGTGAGCGCGTGCGTGTCATGTAACCGAGAGGTGGTGGAGGAGGAGGAGGAGGAGGGCGCGCGCATAATCTCAGTACAAAATGTTCCCTTCCACGTGCGGAGTATGAGCTGACGCACCACTGCTGGCCCTCTCCCTTGTGCTAATATAGGCTACCCCGCCCCTCCCCGGTTTCCAAACGCTCACACCCCGGAAGACTGGAGGAGAGCCGGTGGACTACAGGCACAGCGCGGGCACGGCAGGGAGTGTAAAACCTTCACAGTTAATATGTAAAACCACGTTTGTATAAACCACAGGTGTCATGCAGGCCCTGGCCAATATGACATAAATATATTCAAGTACTCAGTACTCAGCTGTTTACTGAAGAATTTCTATTACAGCTGAAGAAAGCGTGTGAAAACGATTTATACTATGGGGCCAGTTCCAGGCTGTGTTTTTATGGCAGTGTAAGAAGTTTTACAAAGGACAGTCAATGCAGGGTTGTGTTGCCATATCTACAGAACAGCTTGATGTGCTCCAGTGCTTTATGAGCCTTTGTTGCCTTATGTATTCTACAAAGACTTTTTGTTTGTTTGTTTTTTGATTCGTTTCTGCTTAAAACTAGAAGCTTTCAAGGTATTCTTCTGTGGGACCAACTCCCAGTTTGGATTCAGGAGACAGACACTCTGTTTTTAAGGTTACACTTAAAACTTTCCTTTTGATAAAGCTTAGTTAGGGCTGGATCCTGAAGCCTGGGTTCCCTTAAGAGGGTTAAGGGTAGCCTGAGCAATAGGCCCTTGCTGCTTTTCTCACTCTACTACGTTAGGTCTTTACAATATCACCCACAAAACACTGGATGTCGGATAGACGTGCAGATCATGTCTATATTGATCCATCACTTGTCACGCCGATGTCACTTTGCGCAGTGGGCAAGCTCCTTGAGGTGACCGCTGTTGTGATTTAGTGCCATATAAATAAAATTGAGGTGAGATGCATCATAAGGGAGTCAAAGATGCTGATGTTCCTGTAGCCGTTTAACTTCAGAGTTTAAATCCTTGTCCCAATCAGATATTGGGGTGTTGTGATGTGTAGCGAGTGTAGGAACTTTCATTCTCCTTTTCTGAAGGGGGGAGAAAGTCAGTAGAAGCAAGACACAGGTAGGCAAGAGGAAGGTGGGTGTTAATGGTGAAGATGCAAGGAGCAGTGCAGATGGATGGATTTAAATACCTGTGGTAAACCATCCAAAGCAGCTGGTAGTGGTGAGGACACTCAGTGTGCTGTCATTCATTGCTTGAGTATCCACGTGAATTAAAAACAGACAAGACACAAATCTATTTAATTGTTTATTTAACAATGCATGCCAGACATGATCCTATTCACATTGAAGAATACAGATTTGTATTTGCATCCAAATACTCACTACTTTAATTTCATATTATAATCTCTCTTTATCTTTCTCTCAGTCATCATTACACATCATCTCTGTACACTCTGAGTGGAAGAACTGCATGCATTTAAAGGACATTAAATAAAGTGTGACCAGTAGAGGGATAAGTCCCTTTTAGTCGAACAACATCAGAAGTTATTGCAGAAAAAACATGTGCGTGATACTCTAAAGCTTACGAGTCACAGGTTTCATAGGAGGGAAGCAAATCTGTTGATTATTATTATCACATATGCTCATGATTCCCCAAAACTTTAAGAGACAGTGTAGTAAAATATTTAAAAAATACTGTACATTAAGATTCTGTTGGGTTGTGTTGTGTTGGCATGCCTCCCAGTTATTAGTGTCATCTACACTTCCGATTCACACGCAGTTTAATTAAACGCACGTACAAACATACGCACACACACATGCCTCCTGTCAGTACCTTCCACAACAGTCTCGTCAGCATATCGCAAACACAATCATGTACGAACCTTAATGAGTTTCTACATGCCTTGGACATGTATGCTCTCTCGTACATGAGGATAAGGAACTTTGGAAAGAATAAAAGAGAATGTAAGGTCAAATAGCAGGGCATGAACTTTCATTCCAACGCGGCCATCTTGTTTTCTGACTGGCCCTGCAACGACTGAGGTGACCTCTGCCTAGTTAATCCCGTCTGCAACAGCTGTGACTCAGCGTGTTTCCATTTGGTTTGACAGAGTTCGGTTTGGTTCAAAATGCAAGAGTCAACTAAGCATGACTGCAAAAACATTCCTCACTTTTGTTTGTACTGTTGGTGTTTTCAACTTTTGTGGTAGAACAAGTTGATCAGGTATGAAGACATTCATGCATTGTATTGCCATTTCTGAACACCTAAACACAAAAATATATAGTTTTTCTATGATCAAAAAGATTCTGGGTTAGACTCATTAAGCACAGTGATTATACTGGACTCTTTCTTTCTTTCTTTCAACGATTAACTTTCCATCTTGCATCACTGGGGTAATGTTGTCCCTGAGCACTGACCTTCATCTTTAAACTATGCTATGACTTACATATGTGTTGAGGAAATTAAAACTCTCATCTTTTAGGTTTGCCATCCAGCCACTGCACACAATTGGGGTTAACTGCAACTTCTGTTGTGATTACAAGGTTAAAGGGACAATCTCCAGATTCTACCTAGAAAAGTAACTGGTCACGTGGTGTGGTGCTTTGCCCAGGACCACAGTTGTTTAAGGTCTTTTGTATCTTTCAAATTAAGAGACATCACCTGGGGGCTTTTAACAGTCCTGAATCATTAGATTTGGGTAGTACCACATGATTTAATCCAATTCAAGAAAGAAAGACCAGTTACTGCAATGACACCTACTGTTTATATTACATCCTCACCCTCGTTTTCTTGCGCAGGTTTGGTTTTTTTCTTATCCTCCAAAGTTATTGTTGTCAGTGAAATCTTTTATGTGTTCTGGTGAAGAAATTCAAATAAATGCCCATACAAGCAATGATACAGTTTACAGATAACAACAATTCCCCCACTCTGTACATCAGATGTGTCCAAAGAGAACAACAAATGTCTGTGAGAACATAACCACTGATTTTTTGGCCTCTTGACAGCAGAAGACAAAGATTAAAAGAGGAAATTCACAGATTTATGAATCACTTCAGTCCCCACATACTCCATCCATGCCCAAAAGGCACCCTAAGTTTGGTATACTGGCAACTATGTATTGCCTTGTCAACATTAGAAAATTCTCATAAGCTGGTTGATAAAACATACAATAAAAACTACTTTAAATACTTTAAATATGATCGAAATGTACAGTATATCAGACAAGTCTATATATTTAATAAATAATATAATACATTGTCATTTAGTGCATGTAGATGGTCATCTTTTATTAAATTGAAAAGCTTAATTAGAAAATACTCGACAAAAATATCACTGAGAAGATATAAATATTGATTTTTGTAATTCAAACAGGCATTTACTGCAATTATCAATAAGGAGCAAGAAAATGTCAATAAATAGAATCAATCTCAAAAGAAGAGCAACATGATTAAAACTGAATCATAAGAGTGAGAAAATATAAAAACAAACATTAAAAATCAGTAAGAATTCTATTGATTGAAGCTATTTTGTCTTTACAAAGCTATCGGAAAAAGACATCTTCTTTTTCAGACTTCTTTCTTTACAATAAAAAAATGAGAACTTTTTTAAAAACACTGATCTGGCTTTCATCTTTTAATGTTAATGACCCTATGTTTCCTCCTTCATGCCGCTTTAAAATGCATGCCTTTCTTAACAAATCTCTGCTAGAATGTGTATACTTGGCAACTCATTCCGAAGCTTTTCCAAATATAAATCAATCAGAAATAAATTCAAGGTCCTTCAATATGATCTGTATGCTTATTTCAACATTTGTTTTAGTATTAGGCAACTGCTTTTTTGTGTGTTTTTTTTAAAATAAGCCTCTTTTTTGCAGTGACCTGCTTTGAATTCAATTAAAAAAAGAATGAAAGGAGAAAAACAAATGGATGACAGTTATTGGATAGATGAAGGACGGATCTGTTAGGTGCAGGCGGATGTAAAATCCATTTCAAAAATAATGCCACTGCCGAAACCTGAAGGAAGAGGGCTGGGCTACAAGAGAGCTACGATTCTTGGAGTGAAAAGATTTTTGGTGTCAGGTGCGGGCAACTAAGGTTCACATCAGGTTTGCCCAGCAAGCGTTGCTTCTCACACAGGCTCATAACGCCCCCTTGTCCCCATCTATTGCAATTGCACTTGTAAAAGCTCTCTGGAGTCAGGTATAAACTAAGGTATCTCTCCAAGTGATATGTAGGATTTCACTGACCAAGTGTGTGCGCGGATAAACATGAGGATGTCACCATACGCAGAGTGCCTTTCTCTTTCATGCCCTTACATGATGCCTCAGGACAGTGCCTCAAGCATGGCCGCAGGAGATACATGGTGGCATGCTGACTTTTTGACTGCAGTGTGTTCAAATGCTGCTTTGTTTCTGGCAAAGATGAGTGCTTTAGCCGTTTCCTCTCTGATGCTACAATATACAAACAGAAGAGAAAGAACTGTATCCTTCAAAAATGAAATATTTATTTATTATGTGAAAGATTGAGTACTTAGAGGTAATTTGAGGTGCAGTGAAGTCCAAAGACTTCTGATCTCTTCACAAAGTGGCCAGAAATGTTAGTGTCTTTCTGGGTTGAGTTTATGTGAGTTAGGATTATATGAAGCAGGGAAAATGTATTTGAAGGTAAGGTTTTGCAGTAGTAATGACTCTATGTTGGCAAAAGAGGTGGGTGTCTTTTCTTTCTTTCTCCTCTCCCTTGGCCTCTCAGACTTGACAGTGTCTACCATATAAAGCTGCTAGGAGTAACAGTATACTTTGTGTGTGACTAGTGTGACTGATATGTGATGTAACACAGTGAAAGATGTCTACTTGAAGTAAAGGTGGTGGGTGGAAGACATACAGTACGAATACACCTTCCATTGCCATAACACCAAACTGAGAGTTACTTAGCTACAAGAGGTAAAAACTAGTCTAGATTCATAGCTCTTTGTTTTGACTGGTGTACAGTAGGACCCCTATATCTCCAATCCTTCTCTGCAGATTCATGATTCAGAGTAAAGCTGCCCTTCAATACTGACTATGAATACATTTTTCTAATCTGAGATATAACGCAGGAAAAAAAAACAACCTTAGATCTCGTCCAGATTAGCATCTAAGGGCAACTTCACCCTGCTATCACTTTAGCCCTCGGCCCTCACAATACTCCTCTCTGGTCCTAACAGTGTGCAAGTGCACTTACACATCCTCGTCACGTGTAGTTTTGTCTATCGAAGCTGCGGAAAGCCGACGGAGCTGCCAGCTTCCTCATTGAGAGGCTGTCCGTTTTGGCTGTGTCAGGCCTTGCTCCAGACTTGCTCCTGAGGAAGGGGTTTCTGGTTCCTGCCAGACCCCGCCCCCCAGGCCCAGGCCCCCTGTCTGCCCCCAGACCTGGTCCTCTCTCCATCCTCTCACTCACCGACAGGCTCTTCCGGTGCGGAGGAGCCAGTGTGAGCGAAGGATGGGAGTCGTCTGACGAGCAGCTGTTTGCTCGCTCCAGCTTGGAGAAGGGGGAGCAGAGAGGGGCCCCACTGGGCCCACCTAGGACCCCTAGCCGAGGGGTATCAGGGGGTGGAACCAGGTCATCAGGGTCCTCAGGATCAGACTCTGTGTGACTAAGCTCTGCTTCTCTCTCTGGATGAGAGGAACCAACGTCCGACGGCTTATCAAAGGGGAATGAAGTGGAACCTCCAGGTGACTGCGAGCGTTCTGCGGGGGTGTATGGAGATGAGACGAAGCGTGTATCGATGCAGTCAGTGATGCTGGTGTACTCCGCGGCCTTTACCTGGACTCCGGCCCCAATCCCACTATAACAGCTTCTTGGTGTGAACATGAGGCTGTGTGACTTGACCAGAGGAGGCTCATCCAGGAATCCCGTGCCTGCGGTAGAGAGGTAGCGGCTGCTCTTAGAACGTTCGAGCAGCCCTGCTGAGGGAGGTGGGGATGGTTCCATATCCCAAGGAGGTAAAGTGCTGTCTGGTAAGAGATGTGCTGAGCATAATGACAAATCAGCTGCAGCACTGTCATCAAACATAGCTCCAGCAGTTCCGCTGCTGCCTGCACCACCCTCCGAGTGCCTGTCGCCCAAACCGCTGGTGGCAGCGCTGCTGAACTCCCGGCCTCCAGGCAGCACCGTCTCTATTATATCTGACTGCAGCGAGGAGTCTCTCTGGAGAGGTGGGACCATACGGAGAGGATCTAGAAAGACCTCCGCAGGCCCCACCTCTTCAGACGTTGAGACATAGATATCAATGCAGGATGACGGACGGTGCTGCTGGGAGACCGATAACGTCGCCAGTGGGAGGGGCTTAGACTCCTTGGGGCCGGCAGCTGAGGACACAGATTGTGAGCTGTTGGCTCTGTGGAGACTGAGGGAGCGGTCTTTGAAGAAGCTTTCAGCTCGCTCAGCTCTACTTCCCCGTTCAGCAGCACGACCAGCTCCAACATAAAATGAATGACTTCTGGTCCGTGTTGCTATGCCAGTGGGCGAAGGAGGAGACATGGAACCCTCAGCTGTTCCCTCTAGAGCCTCCTGTAGGCGGTAGCAGTTCCCCTCTGTGCTGTTAAAGCTGCTTTGACGGAGAATGTATGCGGCTTCAGGGCACTCAGCCTGGCGGAGTATGTATGCAGAGTCTGTGCAGTCAGACGAAGTCCGAGAACGTGCTTTTTGGACCTCCCCGCGCTCGACACCAGTCATGCGCTCCAGCGCTACAGTAATTCGTCCAATTAGCTCTTCCATTTGGGCCAGACGAATATCAACAGTCTGTAGTGATGCCTTCATGAAGTGTTCCCTTTCATTGACTTCCTCTAAACGCATCGCCATATTCTCCACCCTGACAGAGGAGACAGAAATGAGAGAAAAACATCATAAAAGCACTGGAGGGGGTAGAGTAGAGAGGCGAAAACAGTGTGTGTTCTTAGCTACACATTTCTGTACACCAAAGGAAATTCTAAATGCACTTTTGTGTTATCAGATTGATCAGCTTCTTTTCTCTCTTTGCCCTTAGTTTCTTTTGCTAGTGTGCGCTGGGCTCTCTTGGCCATTGTACAGAAAAAGAAAAATGGAAATGAGTATTGAAATATGTTCTATATTTCTATTGTTTGATGGTTTTAATATGGACACCGCTTTTAAGTGCAGCCATGTCTGACCTTTCAGAAGTGACTCTGATTCTCTCATCATTGGAGGAGTGGAATCTGTCATCTTTCTCTCTGAAGTACTCCTCTATACACTGCTCCTCAAAATCATGGACTTTCTTCAGTTCGTCTTCTGTGATGAAAAGCTCTGTGGATGAAAGGGATTGAGTGTGTTAACGCTAACTATTCAGAAATACTGAAGAGATTTCTTTTTTCGTAAGCAGACACTTTTATTGCACTAAAATGGAATAAATGTAACGAGTTCTATTACAAAAAGCTTGTTATTGTATATGTGCAACTCACTCAGTCCATAGTCCCTTTCATCGTCATCATGCTTGCGCCATCGACAACACAGGTGCTTGAGGACCATAGTTATGTGGCTGAATATGATGAGAGGTGGAGGAAGGACCGGACGTTCATGGAAGGTCATAATGAGCTGGTAGCGCTGAAATTTCCACACCTGGTTGGAGATGGACTTGACCTCGAAGAATGTATTACTACAGACAATCACAGACAGAGACGCCATACAAGCCGAGAAAGATTACATCTGCTGTAAGCTAAAATAAGTTTTGAGGAGAAAAACTGACTAAACCTTCAGTTTAACTGTTGTGTCTTATATTGTCTGCTTTTTTGTAATAACACTAATGCAGAGAAGAGGACGACTGCATTTGCTTCTTATATAAAAGAGCAGCAACCGACCATTAGTCTGATAATGTCCATGTGGAAAAAGCACCATCCCATTGTGATACTATAATTATGCTACCAGCCTCTTAGAAGTGCCCAAATACAAGTTACATGTGATGCCATTTTTTTGAATATGAGGAAAAAAAACATCAATAAAAACAATTTAATATTGCTAAGATGAATCCTCATCTTTGTGATCCTTTCTTATGAGAGCTAGAGGACAAGAATAAATAATTTCTGCCTTCATGCAGCCAAAAATAACTGAGTTTTGTGCTTCGCTGCATTTGTAAAACACTGCGGTGTCTACTTAAAGTGCAAAAGCTAAAACTATTGGAGGGTTTTACGTACTTGAACACAGCAATGAGCAGGTTAACCAGGAGTATGTTGGCCACCAGCAGATAGCAGGCCATGATCGCTGGAACAATCCAAGCACCCGTCTTGCACGGAGGCAGAGCCACCACCACACCGTCCTCTGTAGTGATGTTCTGCCCACAGGGGGCTGCACATCACCACAAAATAAATACAACCAAGCGAATAAGTTAGTAGAAGGCAAACTATATCTTTAGATAAAGACATCCATTCATCATTAATAATATTTCAGAAGAAAGTTTTGCATGAAAAATAAATGAAATACATGCAGACACATAATAACAGATAACAAACAGATGATACTGTATATAATCAGAATTAAAATAAAGCGAAACTAAGAAAATTGAAGAAACTATCAAACATTTAAATGTATACTCGATCAACTAAAAGAGACAAGCAGACCTCAAATTACTTTTTTTTTTTTAAAAAAATGCACTTTTCCTTATTTTGCAAACAAACAAGAAGCATAATTCATCATTATGCTTCTTTTCTTAAAGTGGCGGTAGGAGAGAGTGGAAATCATAATGGTAGGGGTTTATGTACACAGATGTGCATCTGATAACAAAATACACACATACACAGAAAAAAAACACATTTGTCATGTGTCACCACAGTTTGCGTTTACAATATATTTAAACATGTCGTCCGTGTTTAAAATATATTGTCACATATGCGAGCCATAGCTTCATTCAGCAATGGTTGACTGTTCAGAATCATTTGAGATGTATTTAGAATGTTTTTTCCATCTGTGATGGTTCAGTTGCTGTGGCTTATCTGGGGAACATTCAGCATTTGTTGTTGGTTTGTTTGCTTTTGAGATTCATTCTACTCATACTCATCATTGCTTGGTGCTCAATTGTTTCACGCAATGCAGCCCAAAGACAGAGAACTGAAGTAATTTTTCCATTTAATTGTTTTTAACCTTCCAAAAAATTTGGATTTAAAAACTCTGACAACTGAACCACTTGAAAAAACAGATTATAGATGATGAGAGGTGGTTAATAAATATGTTGTGGTGTGCTGATGTGTGGATGCTTTTGTTTTTATTCCTGCGTGATGTCGTATTAGCGTTTGAGTCTTAGTGCTTAAATGTCGGATTTATCGGCTGAAATATTTCTCCAATGTTGCAATTGCTTCGGTGAGAAGCTGAGCCGGCGTAAGGGGAGGGTGACATGGTTTAATGTGACAGATGGAGTTGTCATGGCAGGGTCACTTCTTCAAATGGGACGAATTAAAAATCGAATAACAACGAGAGGATAAGAAACATCAAAGGAATATCAAATTTTAAACTTTGATATTTCCTCTTGATGTGAAAGCCTACCAAAAACAAAGACCAGACACATTTGAATAGTGCTGCTGCCATGTAACATTACCATTTGCCAGCCAGTGCAAAAATTTGTGAGTCTAAAGTTGCTTGCAGGATATGGCCTTAGGTCAAGCTACTAGTTGTCTCAATAAAAGATCTGGAGAAGACTGATAGTGTCAGGGAATCGGGAGTTTTGGATTCTTTTAAAATCCGCTCTGTTATTTGTAGAAAACACTGCTGATATTCAGTAGCTGACCCAAGATGCCAACACATGAGGGCAACTTCAGCCTTAGAGCATGGAGCTGCATGCACACTTTTGTATCAAGTGGTCCTCTAGTGGTAGCAGTGGGCATGACATGGCATTAATGTGACGATGATGAAGGAGAGGTGGGAGAGGTAGATGTGGTTAAATTAAGTTCTATAGCTATAGATTTACTGGGATTTTGACTGCATTGGGCAATGTGGGATGGACCATTATTACGCCAGGTTCCATGAGTGCGTAAGTAATTTTCGACCAGCCAGAGTTTTTCATTCAGCCTTTGCTGTACCTTCCTACTATGCATATCTGAAACAAAGAATGAAAACATTATTTCAGATCTCTTCTCTTTGGGCCACTCCTCACATTCTGTACACACCACCAAATACTACCACACAAAAAGATAAGAACGGAGCAGCACACAAAACGCACTCTCGCTCTCTGGACATTTCCACATATACACTTCTCACAGTCTATTTATAATTTATTGAGTTAGAATGTCACTCTCTCTACATGACTGCAGATGCAATTAGTCTCTGAGGAAAACAGTTTTATTATGTATGTGTTACACACACACACACTCACACACACATGTGCGCGCACACACAAACATCTTCAAGTAATAGTTCCAGCTGTGAAGAAATGAGTGAAAATGTAATCTAATTTCATACTGAGACTGGTGTTTTCAGTCATACTGCTTCCGTCCTTCATCCTTACAAAAACGCATTTTGTCTAACAGCTTACACTCTCGCCCCTGAACTTACGGTCAATCTGGTCGGCAAACACCTCTCCGTAGATCATCCAGTAAGGCATGAAGAAGATGTTCCTGGCTAGCATCCAGGATGGGTCTTCGTTAGGGTTGAGAATGGCCTGACGTGCCACCCCAAAACTCATCAGCACCACCAACATGATGATCACAAAATACATCATGTCGATCATCTGACAGAGGGAGAGAGGAAGAGGAGAAGGGAAGAGGTGAGTGGTTAAAGGAAAGAGAAAACGAGGACAGGATATGTTGAAAATAATGACACTGGATGGGGAAATAGGTAATGAGCGGTGTCTGTCACTGCAGGAAAATCAGTTGGTCTGCATTTGCATTTTTTGATTACTATTTTTCCCAGCCTAAGTTGGTCAACTGAAATTTAATTTAACTTGTTGTGGAACGAAGCCTGAAGTCAATATTTAAAATGCATTTAATTTAGAGCAATCTCTGAGCACTTTCAGTGCTGAAGGGGACACTCTCCCTTTGGGCTTATTTATCCTTCGAACACTTTTGTGCATTTTTTTTGATGCACTCAGACTGTCGCTCATCTTGCATACAGATACCCTGTTAAAGCAAATTTGGAGCTACAGCTGTCACCAAAGTTGTTATTACTAAAAAGAAAGAAAAGTGCAAGGCACACTTATAAGCAGAATAAAGCATCAAAACTAGTAAGAACACAGTTGATACTTTTGGCTGTAACTACAATGCAATTTTTACATTTCTTTATTAGCTTTATTAGCCTGCATAGATAAGTGCTTGGCACCTCAGATGGCACAAAAGATGGTTAAGCCTGAGCCCAAGTAAAAGCAGTGGTGGTGTAATGAAAAAATGACACAGTCACTTAGATAATAAGATAAATCTAATAAGATTTATATTAAATTAGGTGAAACACTCATTTGTCTTTACTGTATGTGGACAGGAAGTGCTTGCATGTGTAGTCAGTCCCCTGACGCTTGTTCAGAGCCAGAAAAAAAACCCTGTTCATGCCTGTGAACAACTTTGACTTCAAACCTGCTCGTCACATATGCAAATTATTTGAGTAAATCACTGTCAATTTAAGTAACTCTAACTAACTGCTGATTTTCATATCAAAGAGTCTGCGTCCAGCGGTAAACAGGGGCATGCCCAGGATGGTCGAGGATCAGAAAGATACAGAACTGGCTCTTTGATCCCCCTCCCCCCGTTGTTTTATCTCCATGTCTGCATCGGCTCTGATCTTGAGCTCTCTATGATCAAACAATAAAGTTATGAGGCACAGAAGCTTGTTTACCGCTTACAGATTAAACCTTTGCAATTATCAAACTCAGTAAGCTGTTACAGTCAGTATAGATCATGTTGGGCAAAGTCAGAGGGTAAACAGATAGAAATGAAGGCCAGATAATGGAAGGAAAATATGAAAAATTCTGCAGATTATAAGGGGGATGCTTAAACACACAGAGCTGACTTCCCCTGCCTCTTCTCACCATCTTGCCGATCATCATCACATAGGGACCCAGGTACTTGTTGACTCCGAAGATGTCGAGCAGCCGGATGTACCAATAGATGATGTTGACACAGTAAATCACCCGTCCATAACTCATGAGCGGTGGCTCCTGGAGACGCAGCACCATGCCGACAGAGAATATGAGGATGGCCATGAGGTCTGTGATGTTCCAGTACTCCTGAAGCCACACCTTCACCTTCTGTAACAACTTTCCCGGCTCAGACATCAGGATCTAAACAGCGATCAGAGGAAAATGATCAGAAATGTAGATGCTGTAATGCAGAGATGACAGAAAATGGCATTAATTAAATACAGACGGTAAAGGGTAAAATAAACAGTGACCCTAAAAACAGAAAAATGCACTGTATCACAACCACCATAAGAGGGCAGCATGAATTCACCTATCAGAGAATCTAACAGCTCAGAATGAGCTGACACAATGATGAATGCATTTCATATACTTACAGTAAAAACAAAGCCACAGAGGACGAACATAATAAGGCTACATACCTTTATATTTTATTCACTTTGCTCTTTTGCTTTCATGGTTTTCCCATTTCTGTGGCCTGCCTGCATCTCCACTACCATTCTCCTCCCCTTTGAAACACTCTTTTACTTCTATTTCTCTGATATATGTACATTTTACCTATTTGCTATGAGACTTAGATGATATGGACATCATGATTAGCCTTTGCCCTCCACCACTGAACTCACTAAATAAGCTGCCGGAGACACTTTGGGTCTTCAGTTGGCTGGCGGGTAGGGAAGACTTGCTTAGAGAGGTCACTACAGGTCTACATGTATAATCTATTGTACCTCTCTCATCTTCTCTATGCCATTGGTGAAGATGTAAGCGATAACAATCCACTCTTGAGGAGAAGGCCACAAGTCCATCTTGACCAGGACAATGTAGTTGAACAGCATCAGGTAGCCCACATATGCCATCTGCATAGTGATGCAACAGCAGAGAAAAATCAGCATGGTTATGAGTTTGTGCGCTTCAGACACATTAGCAAACTTTACACGAATGAAGATCAATTATCTCACTGCAAACAGATTCAGTGAAAGGGGGTTTGCCCAAATTAAACACATATTGAGTGAAGGTCTGACCCTCATTGCAACTCCCATTAATTCAGTTTTCAGGCTTTGATAAAAGATATTTGGGGTCAAGGTACCTCCATTATGTGTCTCCTGAATCTTTTAAAAACCACGTTGGCTTTCTGGTTATACGCATATTTTTTTCCATCTGCGAAACAAGCATCCTACCAATGTTCATTCTACACATGCACATTTGCTTCACACAAGAGCTAATTATTAAACCTGGACAGCAAGCATCAGGTCATGGGTATAAATCTAAATTGGGAACAAGACTAAAAACTCCATTTTGGCTCAGAGAACACATCTGCAATAGTTGAAAGGCACCACAGAGTATTTCTCTTTAACCTGAAGGGCAGAAAGGAGAAGTGGGGTAAGACGGTGGGGGGTAGAGAAGAGAAGGAGAGCGAATAGCCAGAGAGAGGAAAACAGGATGAAACAAAGAGCAGTGAAAATATTTTCTCTGCATAAATAAACAGCAAAATCCCTGCAGGTGCTAAAGACATGTTTTCATTGGGCAAGCAAATTGAGGCAACCCAAGATTGGGATTGAGCCAGAATCAAACATAGCACACACGCTCATAGGCAGATACTGTACCACACAAGCTATACATAAACAGTTACAGATTCTACATGTAAGCTGCTCTATTGAAACAGATAATTGAAAAATCCAAAGCTTACATTTAATATTTATATATTGTAGTAGTTAACCTAGTGGCAATGGCCCAAAAACGTTAGTCAATATTGACACTGTCAATAAAAAGCCTTCTTGTGTGATTCAATTCCTTACCCACCCTCACATCCTCCTATACATTTCTCTCAATGCTGCTTCCATCAGCCTCCAGATCTACTTCATACTATACTTTCCCACACCGTCAAGCCAGGCAATGTCAGGTTGGAACGGGAGGTTAATGACAATGGAGGCAGCGTGAAAGTAGAGGCTTTTGATGCTGTTGCAGAAATACAGTAAGCAGTGACAGTAGCAACAGGAAGCAGAGCATGTAGGTGGTGCTGCTGAAACCGACACTGACCGTATGGAACCAGAACTTGACAATTGGTGCATTGTAGAACTCGTATATCTTGCGTCCCATGGGGATAAGGCGGTGGCGGTTCTGAACCTCCTCAACATCCTTCTTTCTGGATGTCTCTGTGGTTACTTTGCCCAGCATTGCCTGGGCGAATGCAAACCCCACATGGAGCGAGGGAGGAAGGAGTGAGAGGTGTGAGGATTTAAAGTATGGAGAGTGTGGGAAGAGGGAAATGTGATGGATGGGAAAGGTGGGGGAGGAGGAGTCGGTAGAGATGCAGAGAAAGGATGGACAGGAGGATGAGTATTTGGGATGGAGGAGGAAGAGTTGAATAACAGAGAAAAGGGAGAAGGGGGGAGAGGGTTAAATTATGGGCTACAGCACTGTTTTAATATCATAATTAAAGAAGCAAGCACAAGCAATGCAATCATTCCAAAATGTGAAATGTGTGTTTGAGGTGGAGTTTGGGTGAAGGCTGGAAGGCTGGTAACAGAGTATTACGCAGACATGGACACTCATGGATTGTGTCTCAGACAACAATTAGGAGGCAAAAAAGAGACAAGGTACTGACAGGAAGAAGACAGAAAAAAGGAAAGATAAGACATAGATATCTCACTTCAATCTGTGACACATTTCCTTATTCATGAGAGAGGGTTCGGAGCCCTCTTTTTTATGGGTCATGGTCTTAATGTCAAAGCAACACCAGACCTCTGAGAGGAATTGTATTCTAAGTCGACAAGCGTAACAGACCTGGGCAACGTTTAAAGTTTTAAAGCTGGTCTAAATGGTTCAAATATGCAATGAGGAGTCGGTGTACATCCCAGGGCTTTGAACAGGTTGACTCGTCATAAAAACCACCTCTATGAAATTAGAGGAAAAGGAGCACTTTTAGTAAGAACTAGAGGATTTCTATTTTGTTTTATGCCCCAAATATGTGAAACATATAGAGCTAAAGTTTTCTCCAAGGCACACACAGACAGGGCCTTCAGGATGAACAAATTCAGACGCCAGTGTGTAAATCACACCATGCCTTAACTGCACTAAACATGCATTTTAGCTATCAGACAGGCTTTTCCATCCATTACAGTGTGTTCTATGCCAAGCATCTGATCATCATATCACGAAAATACAATCTCCCTCTGTGGTGTAGCAGTCCGTGTATATATGTATGAATCTTTGTGTGATTCATAAGTAAGTGACGCTGCATTTGTGCAGTCAGAAGCCAGGGCAACAGGAAGGGGCTCTTTACAAGTACATCCTCTAGCAGCGGGGAATCTTTGTTTAACGCCAGAGTGCCTCAAGGACTGCAAGTGTAAAAAAAAAAGACCCGTTTCGTGAATGTTTGCACTGGCTTGCTGGCTTGCTCAATGCAAGATGGAAAATATGCACAGTGGTGCTGGAAGGCATTCAACTTCAGTTCAGCCACTTCACGCGACGGCCACGGATTCAGTTTGTGCATTGAAATTGATTTTCAAATTCCAGTCTTCATTCGAACACACAAGCTGGATCCTGGCATCGTCGCTAGAACTGACCTGGACTGAAATGGAGCAGGTTCTAATTCTTCGGTACTTTTTGTGTCTATGCAGATGGACCAACTCTTCTGCTGTGAGCTGGGAGAAGGTGCTCAGACTTTGCATGATTTAAGCTCTGCAGCAGCAGGCGGACATGGTTATATAATGCAAAAGCCTGGGCCTCCCATGCTCAGCAGCCGCCATGCTGAGTGGTATGCTGCAGCAAGCCATCACTGATGGTAGAGAGTGAGGGGAAGCAATTGGCTAGCATACAGTACTGTACCTCAATCAGACCTGAGCTTGAAGAAAAAGGGAAAAAGAGAGAAAGAGAGAGAGAGAAAGAGGGAGGGAGAGATTTGCAGGAAAAAAGATAGAAAGCAAAAGTAATAAAGAAACAAAGAGAGAGCTGGGCTGAGAATGAGAGAGAAGGGAAGGGGAGGGGGGCGAGAGAGAAACAGAGGAGAAGATAGACGGAAAGAGAAAGATACACGAGGGAACCCACAAGCGGCGACAGACTGAGACGCTACAACTCCACAATCATGTCTTTGCTGAGACGATGAGAAACAGAAAGGCCAATTTGGCAGGAAGTGTCCAGCTGGCCAGAATAGGGAAACAAATATGTGTGCGTGGAGAACTGTGTGCATATATCCGTGTCTGAGTGTGTGTAGCGTTATCTCATTGTGGACAGCACCGACATTGTTTAAAAACTTGCCCACAAGAGATATTTACAAAACGAAACAGTGTCTGGGTTGGGTGCAGTTTTAAGATCGAACAAAGCGTGTGTGTTTGTGTGTGCATGGTCTGAATATGTGTATCGATTCTGACTATGCAGGGCTGAGGTGGGTTCTCTCACCACGGAGTTGTACTGCGTCTCACAGTAAGATCTTACTGTGAACTCCATGTCTTCCTCCTCCTTCTCCTTCACTGGTTTTTCAGGCTCCTCCTCCTCCTTCTCCTGCAGGTAGGCCTCCTGATCCTGGGGCATGTAGGACATCTCGTCCTTGTTCTTGAATTCCAGACTCAGGATCGATGGTGGCAGCAGCAGCCCTAATATTACCTGTGTGATCAAATGAGGGAGACAGGAAGTGGATGTGGAGGGAAGAGCTGGAAGTGACAAATCACAGAGTGTTATGCTATAGTTTCATGAGAGGCACCATGGAAATTAGGACACAAAGACTCTGGAGCAAAAAAACCTTCAAAATCGCTCTATTTTACACATGTGAACCTCACATAACAAAGCATATCTCTCTCACGAACACCTCCCAATCGTGTCCTGATCTGCACTTCGCTGAATGACAAAGCTGTGGTATTTACAACAGCTAGTCTAACGGCGGAGGTCAATTATAAAGACATTAGACAAGGACATGCAGCAAGAATCCTGTGCTGCCAAGATGGATGACGGGGACACACGCATCTGGAGCGGCTATAAAAAAAAAGGGCAGCTGTGTTGTAAACACTTCAGCAGCTAATAGGCAAGCAAGAGCAAGTCAAACGCGATCACAGTGGGAAGTAAAGAATAGGAAAAAAAGATGAAAATCAGGGTAATGAGTTATCTTTTTCTTAAGAGTGAAATTTTAGTTTTTGTTTGTTTCGTCATAAATATGTTAAGGGCTAAGATTAAAAACAGATACAATAATTTACCAAAATAGCTGTCAGTAAAGTTAGATGGTTAGATGAGTGGCATGGATTAAATATAGAATATGAAAAGGATCACAGTAAAGCAGGTAGTATCCCCGATTTTAAGAGGGTGTTTAAGGCAACCGCACCATTACTTACTGATGTATAAGGTAAGTAAGTAAAGTCTGTTTATATAGCACGTTTAAAACCAAAGTGCTTCACAGTAAAAAAGAAAAAGAAAGCAGTGTACAGCTTACAGTCCACTGAAATCTTTCCAGTTTCCAGTTGTGATATAAATACATTCAAAAGCTGTGCACACGGATGATTATGGCAACATTTTTAACAATGATACTCTCCGTATTTCACAAACTCCTTGATGCATCTCGGTTTGTTTGTTTTTTCCACTTTTTTTTCTTTCTGTCTTACTGCTCCAGTGAGTTTGCCTTAGTAGGGCTCTCTCTATCTCTCTTTCGCGCTCTCTCTCTCTCGCTCTCCTGCAAAGGCCAAATCACACTTAAAGCACTTGCAGTATCCTCTCGCTCTGAGATACTAGAAAGCCGGACCCATCGCTCCCCTCGCTCGGTGTATGAATGAGTGTGATCTCAGCCTCAGCAAATCCCAGTGCAACTCTTCAGCATAAATAAGTCTAACCTCTGAACTGAGCAGCTCCCTGCCTATCACTCTACCACCAGATGTCTTGGAGACCCACATGAGCAAATATTGCTCAAATCTTAACCACCAGTCTTAACTAAAAGCTTTTCCTTGACTTAAAAGGGGTGTTCACTGCACGAGCGTCAATGTAAAATACATTGCACTCCGTTTCAAGGTTTTTTTTTGTGACTAAATTAAGTTCAGTTCTCCCGTCCCCTCTGACCTAAAAAGATGGCTTTGAAGGCTTATACTAATTAAGTTGTGGCAGAAGTTCAGCCAGCAGTCCGGCACTGATCACACCGACAGTGTCGAGCTTATTATTGTCCAATAAACCTCTTTTCTCTGGATGGCCATTTCTCTCACCATCACAAGCAACCTTGACTGGGTTGATCTTTAAGTACAGTACATCATTTCACCTACATAAACTCACCCTAAGATGTTAATCTGCTATGAAATAGTGTCGCTGGTCACCCTGGAAGACCAAAGTGACTGAGAACATGAAACATTTGATATTACATAATTTTCTGGTATTAACCAATCCAGGTGTAGGTTCAGATTTGTCCATCTGATAAGTAATAGTAATAGTAAGTCTTTGCTAAACTGAGAGGCAGTGACCTGCCTGCTCCTCACAGTCCAGCACGCACTCTAAATCCTAAACAATGACTCATCATAGCCCCTTCAGCATGTTCCTCTGACCTTTTTAATTCCCCGTGAACAGAACTTTCTGGATTAGGTTAATTTTTCACTCGTATGGTTCAGGCCAATTGTATGTAGTGAGGATAAACATGCACACCGCGTGCACAAGATGAAACAAGGACATAACTACATCATTGTATATCATGTCCTCATTATAGACTTCCTCCACTTCGTTGCACACATCTTCTGCAGCCTATAACTCATAAGAGATATTCAAGAGTTTAAAAATCTCTGAAGCATGACCAAGCTACGTACAGATTATCCATCTTATAGCTGAAAAATATGCATGCCAGCATTCTGACAGACAAGCTACATCATGGCAATACTGCTTTTAAATTACTTGAAAATTACAGTATATTTATATTTTATGTGCTATGCTAACTACAGGCAGGTTTTACTTCTTACGCAGGTATATCACCTACAGAGTAACTGATAATCTCTGCTTTACATCCCCACACACCCTTCATTTCTATGTAAACTACTCAGCTGATACACTGGAGAAATTTTGGGCCACCTCTACAAGTTTCCCAGGGAGGTGACAAGGTTTCTCATTACTTTACAGGCAGTCTGAGGGGATACAACCATGAATCTCTTACACTAGAGAAGGACGTTGCTTTTAAATGCACAGACTCTTCTACTCAACAATCTACCCGACGCGTACTACCTTCAGCCCTGAGTTCTTGCGCATGCGCAGGCGCCCCATCCACATGTCGGTCAGCAGCATCTGACTGCAGGTGTGAGCGATGAAATCTCTATGTTTGGCTGCTACAGCCAGCTGCAGGCAGGTGGCATTGCTCCAGTTCTTCAGCTCGTATGTCAGCAGCTTCATGGCCATCTGCTCATCCTGTTTATAGGACTGGTCTAGGAGCTCCACAGCCAGCTGGCCAAACTCTCTGGGAAAATATATAAAGTATGTATACAAGCACACTGAGTCATGAACCAAGACAGTAATATACTTTGTCTAAAAGTGAAAATGTTATTCAACTGGTCATAACACTGCTGGCCATCTGGCCCCAAGTCTGAGGGTATTATTATGGCATAAAACACATGTACAAACATAAAAACTGTGCGGTGTGAATTGGTTACAAGGTGAATGTTTAGATGACTTACAAGGATAATATTAAATGCAACATATCTTTGATAACTGAAAGGAATATGATGTGGCCAACACAAATACATGCAGAAACACAACAGTTTTCTCAGATGTTCAAAGCAACATCTGTACCAGTACCATCGCTTATATCAAATCTTTAATTGGGTTCCAAAATCCTACACAATACTTTTTTCATACCTTCATTTCAGGACATTCATTTTTTACAGCATCACATT